ACGAGTTTAATTTGGATCTCGGTTATTTCGCGGTAGTACAAGTTTAGAGTAAAAAGAGGGTCATTTCATGTGTTCAACTTTAAATTTGTGCATAAAGCAGGGATTTATAAAATAGAACCGTATTGCGACTTAATAAGGTATATTTAATTTACAATGTCTCAAATATGGAAAAAGTCTAAAGATCTAATTAATTACAAAAATTATGTTAGTCTACTACAATAGACACACGTGCTGGCAGAAAACAATGACGCCTTGTGACTATTTATTTAATTGTTTGATAATAATGGTAAGTGTGCAGTCTACAAGCACCCGTAAGGAGAAGTGAAGGTTAACCATTTTTGACAAATATAATTGTAAAATTAAATTATATTTTTGGTAAAGAAAATGTTCATCTGCTAGTTTGAACTACTCAACTTTGAATATTCTTGGGTTCTCAGAGCAATGTCAAATGCGACAGCAGTAAATAATTGCCATCGGGTTTAATGACTTGTAACTATTCATAATAATAACAGTTTTAATGTCACGGACATCAATTCAACTCAGCGGTAATCTGCATTGATTTAAAAATAAATAAATTTCATTTCGCAAATCCAGTATTTCTGGATTAATGTACATGATTCAAATCAACTGTCCTATCAGACATTTCCTATCGAATGTATTTTTGTTGAAAGTTCTGCCGACTTGTTTGTTTACGTTATTGTAAAATTAATATTTAATTAATGGCCATCATCTTGATTACTTTATGTGGTTACCATTACCAATCACACCGGGATTGGTGCGCTATGAAAACTGCGCCGGACAATCGCACCCATAACAATGCTCGTAAAACGCCGTTGTTAAAAATGCTTATTTTATTTCCCTGTAACTATTGATTCATCCTCAAATTTGGCGATACGCAGACATTTCGGGATTTCATGCCATAGTCTTCACTAACCAAAAAATCATTAGTTCCAGAATTAATTAAGCGTGAAGATCAGTAAGGTATAAAAACAGGGACGACTAAAATAAATTCCGACCAGTCTCAATAATTTGGTCAGCACATGTGAGAAACACAATTGCCTTTTGAGGGGAATCCCATGTCACGCTGATCTAACCTATTTAACTTACCGGCAGCGGCTAATCTACAATTAGAAATTCAGGTGTCTGTTGAATTTGGGGAAGAGTATACTCTATATTTTATGTTGTTTAGTGAACAGACAAACTTTGATCGATGTCCGATAAACCGCGTATCATAACTATCAACAACGAAGACTTCAAATATTAATATTGGAATATTTGTATCGAAAAATCAGTTGGTACAACAACAATAAGTAATCCGACTTGATATTGTTGCTATTGCATGTTTAATTGTGCTGCTGGGTGTCGAAAATACAGGTTTGTTAAAATGTACGCCTCGGACTATTCATGTGGTTCATATCCCCGGTTTGTTGCATGCCCTCCTTCGCTCATAGGTTCACGTTTAAAACTCGATAACTTTGTTCACATTTTGATTAATTTTAATTAATAAAGTGTGTTTTGGCTTACAAAAAGTTGCAGCATTCTTTGGTTTCGATACTTGCTGCGGGGATATCAGCCTGGTTTTGGAACACAGGGGCAGACATGCATTCATGATAAGTCATGCCAATATGGAAATCAGACAGTGGCAAGGGGGTGCCCACCTTACAATTACAGAAAACAAATCAAATTAAATATACATGCGCTTGTATTCAAATATAAATACTCCATCAGAAAACTTTGATAAGAAAATTCAAATCAAAGATCATATTTGCAGCCTTCTTGCGCACTAACCCATAACTTCACTTCTATCCCCCACATAATAAAGCCATAAATTCATTCTATTTTCTATAAAATGTCAGTTTGTGCACTCTGCAAACGACAACCAGGTTTCATCGACCCGTATACTGATGTTCAGAATGAATTCTGCTCTGTCGCATGTCAGAAAGAAGCCATACAACAGCGTAAAGTCGACGCATGTGTTGTATGTAATGCTATGCCGCAGTTGCTCATGCCATTTGGACTAAGAATTCAATTTTGTGGAAAACGGTGTTGGAATAACAACGGTGGTGCCATTGGGCACAACGGTGGCGATTTGAAGGTTAAGAATAACGAAAACATCAATAAATCTAGACAACCAGACGTAGTTGCACAATATCCGTCCAGTCCAGAGCCACATACAAGAGCAAACGGTCTACCTTCACATCCGCGACTATCTCCATCCATACAACCAATAAATCGCTCACCATCTCCATCCAAATATCCTGATCAACAAAAATACTATGCACAAAGCAGCAATTCATCCCCTGGTTTGGGGCCCACCAGAGACTCTGATTTGAAAAACGGACCCAAATCGGCGGCAATAAATGATTTCGTTAGTGGAACCGGCTTCGCTAACGGATTAATTGGCGATATTGTTGATGTAAATGAAGATAGTGAGACTAATAACCTCACCGGATCCTACACGGAAAACGCACCACCAAGTGGAGGCGTCGCTTTTGTAAATAATATCAGAACCATACTCCAGTCTCAGGAAAATACTAGTGATGATAGTTCGTCGGATGATTCAGACTATAGGAGGAATAAGTCTAACAAGAACAGACAGAGAACAGATGAAAATAACGGCGGCGGGTTTTACGTGTCTACCCAAGAACCTTATCCACCCGTAACGCAACACCGAGCACATGCCGCAGTATCACCACCACCTCAATCACAACAATCCTATTCATCTCATCCTCCATCGCAACAACACCCTCTTCCTCGTACTCCAAATCCCCAACCTCAACAACCTTACTCGCCGCGTACTCAAGCTTCCCAATCACAACAATCCTTCTCATCTCAATCACAGCAACCTTACTCGCCGCGTACACAAGCTTCCCAATCACAACAATCCTTCTCATCTCAATCACAGCAACCTTACTCACCTCGTACTCAAGCTTCCCAATCTCAACAATCTTTCTCATCTCAATCACAGCAACCTTACTCACCTCGTACTCAAGCTTCCCAATCTCAACAATCCTTCTCATCTCAATCACAGCAACCTTACTCACAGCAACCTTACTCACAGCAATCTCGTACTCAGGCTTCCCAACAACAATCCTTCTCATCTCAATCACAGCAACCTTACTCACAGCCATCTCGTACTCAGGCTTCCCAACAACAATCCTTCTCACCTCAATCGCAGCAACCTTACTCACCTCGTACTCAAGCTTCCCAATTACAACAACCCTTCTCACCTCAATCACAGCAATCTCGCGCTCAAGCTTCCCAACAACAATCCTTGTCTCGTGCTCCAACACCTCAATCACAGCAATCTCGTGCTCAAGCTTCCCAACAACAATCTTTGTCTCGTGCTCCAACACCTCAATCACAACAACTCTATTTATCTCGTACTCCAGTTCCCCAATCGCAACAATCATACTCGCCTACTACTACAACTTCTCAATTCCAACAACCATACTCGCCTCGTGCTCAAAATTCACAACCGCAACCCCAAACTGCCTCAAGACCTCCACCTCAGTATCAAAACAATTTGCCGTCAGGGCAGCCTGCAAATGGACCTCAACAACCCATGCAAAGGGGTCCAAATAATGTAGCACCAAATCAAGCTGGACAGCAGCAAAAAGTTAATCAGCAGCAAGCGGCTAATGGTGGGAATCATATCACAGCAGCAAATGTGATGACGGGAATACGCACTTTTAACAAGACAATGAATACAGTCAACAAGGCATGGAATACAATGAATGATAATAATGATAATAATAATTCAGACAGTAACGGAAATGATACAAGTGGTGATAATAATAATAATGCTGCTGCATCCATATTAAATGGGAACATTCCTTCATTTGACCCAGCGCAACAAATTCAAAACGCCAATGTGACATCAATAATGGCAAATTCCGGTAAAATGGCCATGAAGATATTCGGAAATAAGCTTGCGAAAAAGGCCCAAAAGAAAATGGCTGAAAATGCTAGGAAAGTTGACAGTCCCAATGGAAATCCGAATGTAAATCCAAATGCCAACCCAAATGCAAATCCGAATGTAAATCCGAATGTAAATCCCGATGCACAGGCAAACGGAACTAGAGGGAGACGTGTGGATACTGCTGCCGCTGTAGCCAATCTTGCCTACAACGAGTACAGACAACACGCTTCTGATTTCGCTCCGTCTCAATTTGCTCAATCGGTGATTTCTCCCACGTCTTCTGTATCGGATGACGGTTCTGAAAGGAATTCAAATAATATTGATTACGGTGCAGTTGCTAATGTATTAGGTCAGAACGCGTCTGAAACTTATAGATCAATATTCACATCAAATTAGCGATTGGGCACGCACTGATGATAGTTGCGTTAGTGTATATATAAAAAAAGACATTTGAATTTCAACAAACAGATAGTTAATAACAATTATCTTACGTATATAATAAATACAAATATATGGGTTTCCGGTTAAAAGCTTCAAGGAATTTGACACAGATGTAAATTTATAAAGGCAATTCCATGTAAAGTTCTTCTCTACTTCGACTTTCTTCAAAGCGGTCAGTGCTAACATCACGCACGTGTTACGGGGTAAGTCTTGCATTTTAGGCAATTGCATGTCAAAAACCGTTTAGATAGAAATGTAATAATTCGATATACTATCGAAAAACTAGCAAAAACAAGCGGATTAATTACAGTACTTTATTAAGTGTAAAAAATTTAATACGAAAATCTAGTTCGCAACGATTTTTCGCACCCTGAGAATTTATCCCATTCTTCTACCATAAATTGCTTTAACTCGCCAATATCTTTAGTAATATACGAGGAAGTCAGAGAATTCCTCAAGAACTTAAACTGAAAAATATTGCTGCAGATTCCCCAACGAGGATCAGTCCTATTTGATTACCTACCGCTATATTGCAATGTTTTTAACAAGTGCCAAGCGCAGACTAACTAGCATAGTCTGTAAATTATAATTACGCATTGTTTCGACATCATAAAATTCCGACATGCTTTCCGACTGCCCAAGAATGGCTTCTGCAATATGCTGCAGGAATTTCAAATAATCATCCTACAATTTCATAATAACTTTAAATTCTTTTGATATTTTATTTTATGCAAGTATCGCTAGCAAAAGAGGTTGGACCTTCCTATCAACCCCATTAATGTTGAGAACAATTGAGGCTATATTGGGTTGCAACTTACGAAGTGCTGAAAGCAAGGAGTTATCAGTGTAAAGTTCTGGCGTGCTCTCCTCATAATTCCATATGTCTTATCCTAATGCTATAGTAATACAATACTGTTAATTTATTTTATGAAGTCCACAACAGAGCAAGAGTTTTTGGCTCTTGACATGCATGTTACTATAGCTATACTATAAATAATTAAATATTCACTTTTGAAGCTATGAATGCTTCGAGCTTTTGCATTTCGCGACGCAGGATAGTAAAGCCTTTGTTTTCCTAGACATTGCAACTGTTTACTCCCCGTTCTGCCTCATTTTAATCGCTTTAGTTCAGGTCTGGTGATTGTTATTAGAGAATTGTCATTATTACATTCTTATAATTAGTTAAAATTTATTTTTTGCCAAGCCACATATAGTCATGTGATATCCTTTTTTTCGCTCACACTTTTTCATAATTTTAATGTGGTTTAATCAAGTATTTGAATAAAGAAAATGGGTAAATCATATTTACGTTATGAACCCTTAAAAACTTTAGGGATCATATGTAGTTCCTCTTCTAATACAATATATGATGCAAGCGGTAAACTCGCGGTATCCCCTGCTTTAGAAGATATCATAATATGGGATTTAAAAAAAGGCATACAGGTACATTGTATTAACATTTTCTCATACCAATGTCATAATCAGCATCAATATCATCAATATAGACTTTTTTTCGAAACAGACATCAAAATTGCACAATGCAGACAATGGATCCGCAGTAACCTCGATCCTTAGATCACCCAATAACCAAGATTATGCAGTAGGCTACTCTGATGGATCGATTCGTATATGGAACAGTACTAATTTCACTACATCACTCAATTTCAATGGACATCGTGGAGCAGTTACTGCTCTTGCATTTGATGCGGCTGGAACGCGCCTTGCGTCTGGGTCCAAGGACAACGATCTAATTATATGGGATATAGTCGGGGAAGTGGGATTGTATCGTATGCGTGGTCATAAAGATCAGATTACCGCCGTTAAATTTCTATCTGGAAATAATGACACGTCATATGGTTTTTTGTTATCATCATCTAAAGATACTTTGCTGAAAGTATGGGATTTAAGCACGCAACATTGCGTGGAAACTGTTGTTGCACATAGAACGGAAATCTGGGACTTTGATATTTCAAGCGACCAGACGTTGTTGGTCACTGGAAGCAGCGAACCTGGGTTGAAAATTTGGAGGATTAACAGAGAGCTGCTGGATAACGGATTAGATGGATTGGTTGGAGATGGTGATATTGAAGATGGCATCAAGGTAATAATAGTAACAATAGTACCATAAGATTTCAATGAAATGTATTATTTAATATGTTACGTTGCATTCATACTTAATATCAGAATATTAAGGGATTATCCTATCAATAGACAACTAAGAAATCGATTACTTTCTACGGTGACGTCCGCAGACAAAGTCAAGAACGTGTGATCACTGTCAAGTTTCACCCCACAGCAAACATTCTTGCTGTGCAAGGCGCAGACAAATTTATAGAAATGTTTCGTCTTCACACTGCAGATGAACTCAAACGTAAGCTTGCGCGTCGTCGTAAAAGAGAAATAGTAAAGCAAACAAAAACGGGAGATGCAGGAGATCCAGATCAAGATGAAGAGATTACTATAACTGCTTCAGACGAGATATCCCACTATCAAACATTGATTACGTCTGCCAAAGTTCGATCCTTTGATTTCTCTCCGGTGGATGATACGATGAAAACTGGTATCGCTCACGTAAGGGTCGAGAAGAAGACAGCGATTAAGTAATTTAAGAGATCCATGGATTTGCGTTGATATTTACTTTTGTTTTTAGGTTCTGGCTTCGTTGACTAATAATACTCTCGAAGTGTACTCAATGGCCATTCCCAAGAAAAAGTCAAAGGCACCAAAGGAGAGTAAACTATTGCACACAATTGAGTTGTCTGGGCATAGAAATGACGTCAGGACACTTGCTATTAGCTCAGACGATGGGATGCTCTGTTCTGCATCCAAAGGTAGATTGAATTTAGATCAAAGAATTTCATTGCATTATATTTATATATTAACATATAAATTATCAGATACACTCAAAGTATGGAACGTCAAGACAGCGTCGTGTATTCGCTCGATGGCGTGTGGGTATGCACTCTGCAGTGCGTTCTTACCTGGAGACCGACATGTAAGTAAAAACATAGACGTTGGTACTTTCCCCGCTTGGAGTCTTTTCTTGTCTTTGTTTATAACTTCATTCACACGTGCGCCAGATTCTCCTCGGAACTAAATCTGGTGAACTCGAACTGTTCGATCTCGCTTCTTCATCTCTAATTGAATCAATCAAAGCACACGAAGGACCCATATGGTCGCTACAAGTACGGCCAGATAGGAAAGGAGTCGTCACCGGTAGTGCCGACAAGCAAGTGAAGTTTTGGGATTTTGACTTAATCGAGAATGAAAAAGCGGTATGAAACAGCAAGGTTTCGATTGAGATGCGTTTCTTTTTTCTGTAAATGAGTATGAGAAGGAACGTAACCGAATAGAACAACATTGTTTAGTCTGGGCCAAGGAGACTCACGTTAGTACACATGCGAACGTTAAAAATGACGGATGATATATTGTGTGTGAGATATAGTCCGGACCAAAAATTTATCGCGGTTGCGTTATTGGATTCGACTGTTAAGGTATTTTACCACGATACGCTGAAATTTTTCCTATCTCTCTATGGACACAAGGTAACTAACAGGTGCATCAATTTGAGTATGGCTTCTGTGAAGTCGTTTCTGACTGTTTCTTCTCCCATACGTTTTGCAGTTACCGGTACTGTCAATGGACATTTCATTTGATAGTAAATTACTCGTAACAGCATCGGCTGACAAGAACGTAAAGATATGGGGTCTCGATTTCGGTGATTGTCACAAGTCGATATTTGCCCATCAGGACAGTATCATGTCCATTCTATTTGCACCTGACAGTCATTATTTCTTCACTGCCAGCAAAGACAAGTTAATAAAATACTGGGACGGAGATAAAGTATGACTATCTAAATTGTCGCGTATGCAGTGTTGGATTTTTCTCATTGCTTACTGTTATGTAGTTTGAGAATATTATGAAACTCGAAGGCCATCATGGTGAAGTATGGTCTCTGGCCATAAGTAAACAAGGTGACTTTATAGTCTCTTCTTCGCATGACCGCTCGATCCGTATCTGGGAACAAACGGATGAGCCACTGTTTCTGGAAGAAGAACGGGAGAAAGAAATGGAAGAAATGTATGAGGCGACGCTGACTGCTTCGATGGAGAAGACTAGTCTGAATGATAATACCGTTGAAGTATCAACAGCAGGTAAACAGACTATGGAAACACTTAAGGCAGGAGAAAGGATTATGGAGGCAATCGAAATTGCTGATGAAGACAAAACTGTTTGGGAGGAATATAATCAGGTGTGTTAGACAATTATTATGACTTTTTTGTCCGCATACTATTATATAAAGACAGACTTTTAATTACTCATTTTATTCCTCCTAGCGGAAGGAGACGTGTATGCATCCTGGTCCACCTCCAATTCGCAACCCAATACTGGTTGCATTGGGCAATTTGACGGGTGATCAATATTTATTAAGAGTAGTAGAGAAAGTTAGATCTACCGAGTTGGAAGAATCGCTTCTCATCTTACCGTTTGGGAAAGTTATATCTCTCCTAAGTTATCTCGATTCCTGGGCAAAGAAGGTGTGCATCTCTTTATCAGTAACTTGCCTATTCTATAGAACTAAATGGACTAACCGCATCACCCGCACACTGTGTTAGGAATGGAACATTCCTTTGACGTGTCGGATACTGTTTTATTTATTGAGAGTACATCATGATCAAATAGTTGCAAATAGGCTTCTGAGACCGATGCTTGCTTCAATACGAACCTACTTGCGCGCTGCATTGCAACGGCAGAAGGTAATAGGATACCGGTTCATTTCACCGACAAAAATTACCAGAAAGGATAGCATCGGAATAATGTTGGAGAAATTTTGTCGGCGAAATGATCATAGAATATTACATTTTGCATGTCTTTCTAGTTTCGTGCCAGCGAGTTTATTAATAAAATATTATGTCTACAGGACATATTGGGATACAACGTTGCGGCTCTTAAATATGTAAAACGCGAGTACGAGGCGAATACGACAGCAGAATTCTTTGACGGACAGAAAATCGACGAAATCACAAACGCTTCACTCAAGAAACGCAAATTTATAACTTTGGCAACATGAACTACAGGGACTTTTTCTCTCCGCTCGCATTCTCTTTTTTGGCCGAGGGACCCTTTTTGTATGTCTTTTTGAAGAAACGGATGAAGAGAATAAGAAATGTTCCATTGCAGAACATGGAAAAGAGAAATGCTTTGAACCCGTATTTGCAGTTGTTGGTAAAGTGAAAGTAGAGATAAGGAACGGATAGAATGAATGATGTAGAGAATTGTACTATTTGACCACGAGTTATGTATTCCTTGAACCAGACAGAACGTCCAAGTGATGCGCTGAAGTAGTAATAATACATGAATACGTGGATGAGAGTGTTAGCCATCATCCCAATACTAGAGTAATGGAATAAGGTGATTGTTAATTTTTAATAGAATAATTAAGGAAGAAGGATATTACTCTGTATAACCGACTTACCTCGCATACATATTTGCATCTTCCAGCCATGACCATACCATGAGAATGACAATTGCATGATGGTACCAGTGGAGAAAAATGATTGGTTTCTATTTTGAATTTACGTTTGTATAATATTATGAATGACACGTTTAAAGTTTAGCTATAGCAAGAACGCGTTCGCACCTTCTTCAATGCCAAGATGACTGTATCAAATAATTCGTAATACTTTGACAGATAGTATATGTATGTGACGTAGATAAGTCTTCCCTTAAGAGAACTTTCGTCAGATGTGCAGAAGCATTCTCCAAATCCACGTGACTGCTCAAAATTATTTGTTAGTAAATGATATATAAAAATAATAATTGTTCATGCATATAATCACCTTCCATCTAGAGTAGAAGTCTATAATGGCATATGCGCACATGAGAGCAGACCACACACAAAGGATAAGATTGTGCGCAGCAGTAATCATACGAAGGGACATTGGCGGTCTGCTTTTCATGAAGTTCTACATCAGACGTCACCAAATATTAGAACAGATACAACCAACGCATTAGCATCGCAAAATTCGCCGACTTACCCTACATCCCATCACAACAACGAAGTACGCTACCCATGCGCTAACGATTACCTATTCGCCGAAAGGAAATATTAGGGTTTGTTGTTCCAAACAAGTGTGATTAGCAGTTATATTAACTCTTAGAGCAAAATACCGATAGATTGGACAACGGCGTAACTCCGAGAGACCAACCAAATTCGTTTGGAGAAGCCAGTTGTGAATAATCCCATGAGTACATTTTTAGGAATTTGATACTGTTACTATTCAAAGGAAGTGTGGTGATAGTATCGACAGGGTTGAACGTTTAATTGGCCATTCTGGGCTTCCATTTTATCACATAAAATATGCATCCAAATTATTGGTTGTGAATCCTGAAACGAGGAGCTTCATTTTGACAGTACAAAAAATTTTTATTATAAAGCGGAATCAATTACGGTATCAAATTCACATTTCGTCTAATATACGGATTTCAATTTCTAGTTTTTGACATTTATCACACGTGTTTATAGTCCCAAATACTGCATGTTGAATAATTACTCCAGGGACGTTCAGAATGTTGTGCTTAAAGGCTTTTAGTATACCTACAGTGAAATGAAAGTACAATATCCAAGTCATTCAATTTTCACATGCATCTTAATTTCATTTGTGAAGTCCTCGGACGTAGATGGCTAGCAGTAAGATTAAACGAAGAAAATCAAATTTAATGTTTAATCATATCAAGAAAGCTGAAAATTGTATGGAAAGAATGCATCGAGAGGTTAGTTCCATGATGAAACTTTCATGGAGCGAGAGACTATCAGTCCATATAATTATAATTTTGCGTGTCTTTTATTAAACGTAGCTAAGGTGTAAAAATGGGTTATAAAATAGGCAAAGAATACGAAGGATTGCAAATCTCTACAAGTACAGCTTCTAAAAAAAGTATTTAGTATCGCATCTAGGAAAGGCTGAATCTAAGCCCAGTATAACGTAACCGTAAACCTGAAAAAGGTGCAATACTGCTAATTTCAGTAAAACTGGAAAGTGATCATCTCATTCTTTGTCGAAAAATTAATATTAATGAGCATATTTCATAATTCTCACAAAGCTTGTTGCGAGAGCTGTGAGATGTTAAGCAAAACAAACGACGAAACTGAAATGTTGCATTGGTTAGTAAAACGGAGCAAAATGTTGCTTTGACGGTAATAACCGTTCATTATTAGGGAGCCCGGAATTTTGTTATTTTCATTTTGTCCAGTTTTGTTACTATTAACGAAATACTGACGATTATTGGCCAGACCATAAGTGTCAAATGATTGGCTGATGAATGGATAAATTTATGCGCAATTTGATATTCATCTCCTTGGGCGAAGAGCGGTTATTTATTTAGAATTCGATTGTAGTGTATCAAATTTACACTGTGTATAATAATGAAGGTACGTAAAAGTGATTATCAAAGATGAGAAGCTTATGGAGACTGCATTACTCTCATAATGTTCTCATCATTTGTCTCTTGAATGTGATATCATTCAAGGTATGATAGTGAAGTGTTCAGATTGATGTCAACTGACAATGCATGATTTTCTTATACTCATGCACTGCGTCTGTCTAATTTTCGTTTATTACATTTATTACATTCTTATTCATTCACTTACTTGACACATTCTCGTTCCAACACTTTCCTACTCTTTTGTTGACAATTAAATACAAACAGTTCGGTAAGCAAATATTAAATCAACGGATCCCGGAGTGGTCTAACCACTACATGAACTACAAAGCATTGAAAAAAATTATCAACAGTTTACAGAATGTTCCCAATGGTAATGATAGACCAATGCCCCCATCAATCACAATTGCTGCTAGACCGCCTCCGATATACACGGAAACAGTTCAGATCGATGAAACACAGGCCTTTTTGGATAAGCAGAAAACTTCCTTCTTTTTTAGGCTCGAACGTGAGCTGGAAAAAGTAAACACGTTTTATTTGCGTAAGGAAAACGACTTCAAAGTTCGTTTTCGTACATTAATTGACAAGAAGAAAATTTTGCTTACACGTGAGAAGAGGTTATCTGCTGGATCAGCTTCTATTACGGCATTGAAAGAAGCATTTCTTACGTTTCAGTTGGATCTAAATAAGTTGCAGGTAGTTTTACGTGTTTGACATTCTTGGTAATAACTGATGTTCGTACATGATTATCTTATAACGATCATATTACCTTCTCACTGCATTCTCTTCTTCTATTCTACGAACAGCAATTCGTAGAGATTAATGCAACGGGGTTTCGTAAAATTCTCAAAAAATGGGATAAACGCAGTAAAACAAGTACAAAAGAACTTTATTTTGCCCGTCAAGTAGAAAGCCAACCATGCTTTAATAGAGACACTATTACAGAATTGGCAGATAGTGCTGCCGGAAATATAGTAGAATTAGACAGTTTTACGAATGGACTGTCCATCAACCAATTAGCATCCCCATCAACGCCAGAAAGAAGCTTGTTGCGTACCCCCGAACAGTTAGACGTAATAGATGACATCGAAACAGAGCTGTTCAAGGCAATAACAAGCGGGCCATCTTCTGTAGGACAGGAAATACTCGAGCGTATTCGTCAACACCCAAATGCGGAAGATCGCTACTACGTCTCACGTGTATTTTGGCGAATGTGTTCAGAAGATCCGCTAGATGCTATTCAGACACTTGTTAATACTGGACTCGTTGATTTCACTTACAAGGATGACATCAGCGGAAGGACATGTCTGCATGAAGCAGCAATAGTCGGTCGGCTGTCACTAATGAAGTTGTGTGTTGAACACGGAGTACAAATAGATTTGCAAGATGTCTATGGTCGTAGGTCATTGCATTATGTTGCAATGTATGGACACAGTGAAGCTACAAGTTACCTTCTGTCGGCTGGGGCAAACGTTTCGAGTTTTGATAATGATGGATTCAGTCCGTTAATTTATGCTATTACCAATGGAAATACTGAATGCGTGAAGATTTTACTTGATAATAAAGCATCTATTATGCCTCAGAATGAAGGTGATCATATCCCGTTGTCGCTCGCATGTCAATATGGACACAAGGATATCGCAATGTTATTACTGGACAAAGGAGCAAAGATAAAACCGGATGCTGAGGGATTATCCCCATTACATTTATCTTGTCGAGAAGGCCACCACGAATTAGCTAAACTGCTAACAGAGAAAGGCGCTCTTCTTGATACGCCCGACAAATACAACGGATGGACCCCGATATTTTATGCAGCAAGCGAGGGTCACATCGGATGTGTCAAAGTATTACTGAATGCTGGATGCCAGGTGAATATAACGGATGAATTGGGCAATACTCCGATTTATTACGCCGCATGGGAAGGTCATATTGAATGCATACAACTACTCTCTGCAGCCGGTGGGAAAGCTGAATCACAAGAGCCACGGGATGAGCCGACAACTTTATCAACGGCCCCCCGGGTTCCCACAAGCTCTGCAACAGCTCTTAATTCTAATATATCAATGTCCGATACTTGTACAAACATGCACACCGTTCCCTCTCTTCTCCTCCCACCTCCAATAATCCCTCTTTGCATATATGGTCACAACTACCTTGACAAGAAATACCACGTTCAAGTAACTCTTGGTCACCACTCTTCCAACCGACGACGTCCCCCTGTGCATCTCTACGGTAATAGCAAAATATCCTCCCTTAAACTGATTATATCCTCAAAACCAGATATGGGCACTATTCCGCACAGTGTAATACTTCCACTTTGCGACGATCGGGAGGTGTTCTCCTTTCAAGTTGATTCATTAAGTAACTTTTCGCTTGAGTTCGACATATTTCCTACTTTTGGATCACGCGTCATTGGGAAGGGCGTTGCTCTTCCATATATGTTCGATGTAAGTGATGGGCGAGAGCGAAGAAATAATCTTGTTCATGGTGGCACTGGTAGGATATGTATATGTCCATTATTTGATACACATTTGAAAGTTGTCGGAGAAGTATCATTTGAATTTGCTATCGTGAAACCATTCCAAGATGTCCGGTTAGAAATTGGAGGCAGAGTAGAGACATATTGGAAATCGACAAATACTATCACGCATCCTGTACCGAATGAGCAAACACCACCACCGTTAGGGACTAGCGGAATCATTCTATCATTTATCACCGCGACTTCGTTGTCTGGAGAGTATGTCCAGGTGATTGTGCAAGTGACGAGAGACATGGTCGCGGTTGTTTATCCCGAATGGATGCTTCCTGTGGATGAATTTGATCTCAGTGTTTCCGACGTTACTTTGGAACAATTTAAATCTATAGGAGAGAAAGAACTTCGTAATAGACGTGAACCCATTGATTTTAACTCGGCAGAGAATCCTTCCGATTTGTCAAAGATGATTCGTAGATCGTTCTTGTCGTTGAAAGAGTTGTTGACGAGTTTGCCTGCTTCTATTGGAGTCAATTTGGAAATCAAATATCCAACTGTGCGTGAGATGGCGCGGTACTGGTTTTCTGATATCCCGGATATTAATAGTTATGTGGATACGATATTGCAGACGGTGTATGATCATGCTCAAAATTATCGTTTAAAGGATGGAAGTGGAGATCAGACTGAAAGTGTGAATGCAAGAAGAATCATGTTTTCATCATTTAATCCAGCCATTTGCACGGCTTTGAATTGGAAGCAGCCAAATTGTGCGTATTTGTTATGGAGTTGTGACTAGTCAAAGTCAAGTGTTGATGTTGATACGATTTTTGAACTAATACAAAGACTGTGGTATTAGTGAAAATGGTTGTTATTCTGCATACCATACTGATTTAACTTTCCTCCATCTCAGATGCCGTATTCTTCAATTCCTACTGCGGATTCGGCGAGGAGCGCATTTACCGTGGGAAGAAGCGAAAATATAGTGATGAGAACAAAGACGACAATGTTGAAGACTACGGAGGGCGAGATACTTCTATTAAGGAAGCAGTCAAGTTTGCAAAAGGGAACAATCTTCTTGGGCTTATTTGCGAGGCTACGCTGTTGGTAAGTGTTTATTAATGACATGACGCTTCATTGGAAGATTCCAGAGTGCTCTCGAATAATGTTAATCCTTCGTAGGTGCAAGTACCATCGCTGATAACATATGCAAAGGAAGCTGGTTTGATACTTACTACATTCGGCACATCCAATAACGATCCCCATAACGTACGATTGCAGATTCGCTATGGAGTCGATGCGTTGATGGTAGACGGCGTGATAAGATACAATGGCTCATTGAATTAAATTCTGTATTCTATCATATAACTTATATTTGTATGTATATAATCATATTTATTAACGACTCTACAATTATTATTATTCTCTCCATGCGGAACTGTGCTGATTTCAATCATGTCCTGTTGATCTCCGCCTGAAATGTCTGATGAAGTTTTCAACTTCTTTAGAGTACATCTCTATAACTCTACGATCAAATGTCTTAAACCCAAGATCTCTCTCTATCGCGAGAGCCTCAAATTGAGCACTATACAGACAAGGCAAAATTTCATTAGTAATTCTTCGGCTTAATGTATTGCAGAACACTTTTACAACCTTCTATATCCAATAGAAATTAGCGCTCTGTCATCGGATGCTCCTCTTGCAACAAACACTAATATACGGCGAGAGTTCTATTTACAAGCATCAATATAATAAAACACTTTAATGTTTACTAATAAAAAATGCTGTCATATTTTCATTCGATTTACTTACCTTCACGTTATCAGTTACGATATATGCAAGCTTAGCTAGTGGTCCAGGTTTAGTAAATGTCACATGTACGCTATTATCAATCTCAACCCAACCTCTCCTCTTTATTAGGGAGTCTGTAGTGAGCCTCTTTATACAGACAGTCGCCTGAGTCATGATAATTTCTATCAATTTCTTGTATAATTCAATACCTTTGGACATTATCATAGCACTATTAAAATAGCATCAATCAATTATGCGCAAGCCTGAAGAGTCCTTATATCGTCAAATTGTAAAACACAAATATACTCACGTCTCTGTATCTCCCAATGCCATTTCACATCTTAGCATTACCTTGGCTCGTTCCAAATCCCAACCATCTTTCTCAGAAAAATATGCACCATTTGATGAGCCACCTGCTGGAGTTCTCGGATATGCATCTCTAGCTCCCAAATCATCGGCAACATATGGTCCTGCTTCTATTAATGCTGTCAAAGCAAAGACAGCCTCGCTAGCGGTTAGCGAACCGGACGAATGAAACTTCCACATAAAGGATTGAAATGAAGTATCTTCGAGTTTAACGTCATCCCGGTACTTATCCAGCTCAGCAAAGAATTTCTGACGTGTTTCACTCGGTATAAAATAATATGGTTCGAACCACCATTTCTTAGCAATACTACAAAACAATAGACAAAAGTGTGAGACATCGAGTAGTAGGGAAGCTTAAATATACTTTGTCGATAAAAAATTCTCAATAGAAAGGCTACACATAGACTCACCCAAGCTTTGTAAGCAGTTTTCCTAATCTGGTAGTAGTTTTCATCTCGCGACCTTCGTCTTTCCTCGGATGATCCTCCAAATGAACTCCCAAAGCACTAAACACGCTCTCCGAGTTTTGCATACTTTCATACAGTGTCCATTTATTTAATAATGCGTACCCTGGAGTTAACCATTCTCTTGTTAATAATAATAACAGAACTATTAATGGAAATTCTAAATTCTAATTGCACTCAAAGGATATTCTTCTTGAACAGCCAAACGAATTCCGTTCGGTAACGTTTCTCCGATTCTCCGGATTTCTTCCACATAGAGCTTCGTGTACGCCTTATAGACTTCATCTTTTATCTCTTTATTCAAAAACGCGCTAGTCAATCCAATTACTGCCCACCATAATCGTTGTTCAGATTCAATCCGTGTACCGTTTTGGAAAGCAATTTCGTAGAATTGGCATGAGACCGGACGGCCACGGGTATTATCATCTGTTATTGAGTTGTCAACTAAGATTACCTGAAAGGGAATTTTACAAAAAAGTTTTTGATGTAGGAGAAAGCAAAGTTTCAACACAGATAAAAACAAAATCTGAGTAACCAACAAATTTCTAGAAAAGACTTCAGTTACCTGTTTATTATCTTCGTCGATATTTTTTTGATGCCAGGATCTTTTGCTATCAAATATGTATACTTTTAAATCCGGTGATGCTGTAAGGTGGAATAGCTTTTTCATATTTCTGTCTCCCCCACAATTGATCATGACAAATATCCTATAACTTGCGGTCTGTTATCGTATAAGGTCAGTTTGGTTCTTCATCAATATAAATGAATTATCTAGACTATATTCGCACCTCATTTCTCTCTTCGCTTCGATAATGCTCATTTATGTCCTCGTAATGTGATAAGAAACATGTCTTGAAGGGATGCGGGTGTGGTGCATCAATTGTCAATAAATTCTTTGTCGTATATTGACAAACAGAGATAGGGTATGCATAATTAACGTAGTTAATCAACTTGTGATTCAATGAATTCTTCTCCTGTGAATTATATACTAAAACGTACCGCCAAGACTGCATACCCACAGAGAGCCTGCACTTCCATGGGGACGAACAACACCACCTTATATGGTTTTAAATTTGATGTTATTGTATCGCGTATTTCACGGTACGCTTGATAGGCTTGTTGTTTATAATATAACATCTCGAAGATGTTTTATAAAAGTCGAGAGCAACAAGCATCGCGCCGTCGCGACTATGTGCGTGTAACAAAGAAGTATTGACGTCAATTCTGACGTTACACGTTACAAACGCTATCCTTTGGTATGCATAGGAGGAATACAATGTCGGACACGTAATGGCGATAGAAATGCAAATTCGTTTCCACAGCTTTGTGCGATTTTACACAAATTAATTTTCAAAATATAAATAGCACTTATATTAAAGCACGCAGTATAATGTTCGTAAGGCAAAGGTATTTCCGGGAAACTAAATTCGTTTGCACTTTATTCAAAAATGGCACTACTAATCAAGTCAATCGCGCAAAACCGAAACATGTTACCGTAATCTTAATATGCTAGGCTCTAGGCTAGGCTTGGCTTACTTTCCCGATTATCTTGGTCACGTGGTCAGTATTCACATTTTTTCACCGCTTCTTGATGACGTTCCCCGATGATTGTCATTGTATATCCGATTGCAAGCTGATTCATCTGCTCTACCTGCAGATGTTTCACCTTGACTTGCGCACAATCCTTTTTAAAACTTTTTAACTACATAGTCCAACGCTTAAACAGATGAATAGAAATAAACTCATAGACAATCAAATTTTTTAAATAAAAGGTATCGATGAAGAAAGTATTGGGCTAAGAGCTCATCCTTTTTAGACTAGCAGTCCCGGCTTGCACTAAGTGTCGAACTAGCAATTCATCACTGATCAGATAACCTCTTAGCCCTAAATTCTTTCAGATAATCTTCAGATGCGAAAAGCATACTTTCCAATTGTCAGAACTTCCTGAGCCTTTTTCCTTCTTGTCACGTCAAATACAAGTTCAGAGTTGCTACTCTTCAAGATCCTTCTTTATCTTGTCCAGTGTTTGTGTTTATTTCATATCATCAATAACACTGTTGCAGTAAAACTCCAAGTGAGCAGGTTTTCATCGTATGGTCACTTCGCGCGAGACACGTTTCGCACCCGCAGCATTATTATTATCGCGTTATGAGTCACGTGTCTGCCATAACCACTTTGAATATCAGTTGTTTTACAAATAATAAGGAAATTGCGTACACCGAACTCTGTTATACCGAAGGACTAAGTAAAATACTCGCTATATCGAAGGTAAGTACAAAACGTCTACAGCAAATTTAACACCGTTATCATTATACCGAATTTACTAATTGAACCTCGTTATTATTATACCGAATTTCTTGGAATTTTTGCTTATGTTCCCGACTTCTTCGTTATAACGGGGTTCGACTGTACATAAGATTTTTATTGTCACACATAGTAACACTCACGTTTTTCATAGTAACAAAGAGCACATTTAGTCATTATTGCACGCAGAATTCCATTTTTGCGATAATCTAAGCCGACCGTTACTATCACGTCAAGTTTAAAACTTGAGAGCTTTACTTTTCAGTAATTATAATTGAGTACCTAGACAGATACCGACTTTTCTGGAGACTGCACCCGTACTCATTTTACAACAATTTTTTACCAATAATCGTGGTGAAATTAAAAATTGAGTGAGCGAGCCTATATATTTTCTGAGTAAACGCAGCATGTGGATCGACATTTCACATTTAAATTCAGGTCGTACAAATCTGTTAATATTAAGCCATGTTGCACGAATTTGATGATCGATATCAGTAGTTTGTATTTGACATTTAATATTAAATTAAAGCTCAAGATACTTTTCAATGTTTATCATTGTTACAAAACAAAGGTCAAAAAAAGAGGTAAAAAGTGATTCTGGAGTTGGAATAGTTGAAACCAAATCAACTACATAATTTTTGCATTGATGACGACGATCAAAATCATTTGACCTAAATTTTGATTAGAATTTTTTTAAGTCGAGGTGAATGATTGGCAGTTTATCATGACGTTGTGTAACAGTCTACTTTATATTGGAACCAAAATTCTCGGCGTAGTTTTTGATCCGCCATGAAACAACGTTTCTCGGCGCTTGACGTCCGGGCTACTGTTTCCGACCTGAAAGAGCGGTATGAATCCATCACATTTTTTGTAATGAGTCGTAATTAAAATGTGCCTTATATCCTGATTTATTTTTTATTCACCTTTTTGCTTGATCAAATAGTATAGTCGGTCTCCGTTTACAGAACTTTTACGATATCAGTCCAAAGACGTATTTGTTGAAATTTGCAAAGGTTTTAAACACTTTTCTTGATTGTTTAATCTCTTGTCAACTGCGATTGTTAATACTTATTGTGTTCAACTGTTCTTTTTATACATTACACATAAAATCTGAATATTGAAATTGGTTTAATGGGTTGAATGCAGCCTGATAAGAAAGAATTCTTACTCATTGAATCAGGCAATCGTATTCACACTACACAATTTGCTCGAGACAAGTCGATTAGTCCCTCGCCTTTCTGCATAAAGGTATCTTAGAATTGATTACGTTATTAGTCGGTATTACTAACAAGAACTAATTCTGGTGGTTTTATCATAGATACGCAAACACATAAGAGCACGAAAGTTAACAAATGTTAGGCAACTCGGCATTGATAGAATAATTGATTTTGAATTTGGCAGTTTCGGAGAAGGCACTACTTATCACTTAATAACCGAGTTCTATGCAGCCGTATGTGACTATGACCAGTGATAATCTTGAATACCGACACGGATTTTTGTGCTCACGGTTATTTTTTTCGTCAATAGGGTAATATTATATTAACAGATGGCAGCTATACGATCCTCGCATTAATTCGTGTCGTACAGCCAAAAGAAAACCAACGCATGGCAGTTGGTCATATATACGACATAAGCTCCGTAGCTAGAGATGCTGAAACTATTACAATTTCAAGATTGCAGCGTGTGTTAAAAAATGCATCGCCAAAAGATACACTCAAAAAAGCTTTAATTTATGGTTTAAGTACGTAACCATTGATTCCTGAGACTCGTCGTATGTTCGAATATTAACGACACATTGAATTCTAATTACTCTAGACTATGGACAATCGTTGACGGAACACGCTATATTAATAGCTCAATTGAATCCAACCCGGAAGATAGCGGATCTAACTGATTTTTCCGATGGTACTTAGGTATTTAATAAATAAGTAATCGACATTGTACATAGAGACATTGGATATCTGACCAAATCGTATAATCGCAGATTCAGACCTGATGAATGCCTTACTCAATGGCTTTCAGGAAGCTGATCGAATTATTTCAGAAAGTGCTGAGAGGCCTCAAAAGGTATCTTTGTCTCTATCGCTCGATGATAATACTTGTACATTCTCTGACGCTTAAGATCGCGTAGGGTTATATAGTCTGTCGTAAACATAAAGAAAACGTCGAAGCAGATGACAAAGAGAAGAAAAAAGAGCCCTTAACTACGTTTGTATTTTAGATTTATTTTTACACTATCCGTTCACACTTTCAATATTACTTACGTAACTGTTCATACCTTAGTTACGATGAATTCCATCCATTTCTTTTTGAACAACACAAATCAAAGCCATTCAAAGAATTCGACTCCTTTGATGCTGCTGTTGATGACTACTTCTCCTCAATTGAGTCTCAAAGACTCGACCTTAAGCAGCGAGCTCAGGAAGAATTAGCCATGAACAAATTAGACGCTATTAGGCAGGAACAATTTGGTCGTGTTCAGGGTTTGGAACGGTCCCAGTTAGCGAACGTGCGGAAAGCGAAAATGATTGAGCTAAATATCGATATCGTGGATCAGGCATTATTGGTAATCAGACAAGCAATTGCATCATCTATGGATTGGAAGGATTTGGAGAACCTGGTAAAAGAAGAAAAGAATAAAGGCAACCCTATTGCCAATATAATATCAGGACTGAAATTAGGATCAAATCAAATAACATTGCTTTTAGGGTATGTACTCATAAGAAATTTTTAATTTTTGTCTTACAATACTTGCTCACAATTTGAATATTCTTTAGTGAGCCTGAAGAAGATACATATCAGGACTCGGATGAAGAAACTGACGAAGATGATGACAATAAACAAGCGGCGTTGACCGAAGTTGACGTAGACATATATTTATCTGCTTTCGCGAATGCTAGACGTTACTATAATGTCATGAAACAGTCGGCTGCAAAACAAGAAAAAACTTTACTTGCTGCTGACAAGGTACGAAAATGACTATTTTTTTTTTCTTATGTGAAATGTCATTTATTTTCAAACTTCTTGTAGGCTTTTAAAAACGCAGAGAGAAAAATCCAACAGGATCTTCGAGAAACAAGAATAACAGCTTCAATCACACAAATTCGTAAAACTTTCTGGTTTGAGAAGTTTTGGTGGTTCATCTCATCTGAAAATTATCTTGTCATTGCTGGGAGGGACATGCAACAGAATGAGTTGATAGTAAAAAGACATCTTCGAAAAGGCGAGTTTGGCTACCTTTATCTTTACTCGGCGCAGTCTTATTGGCCGAGTTCTTAACTTAGTTCATTCTTTGTTTATCTGCGTACAGGCGATGTTTATGTCCACGCCGACTTACATGGTGCTGCGTCAGTCATCATAAAGAATCCTCACGAAGGTCAACCAATACCTCCTAGTACGCTCTACCAAGCAGGAGTTATGTCTGTATGCATGAGCAAGGCTTGGGATGCAAAAATTGTTACTAGTGCCTATTGGGTACATGCTGAACAGGTACGTATTGATGTAATTTTATGTTAACTTATGATTGTTGATTTGGTCGTCAACACAATAACACTCTTTTCCATTGAAAGGTATCAAAAACTGCACCAACTGGTGAATATCTTACCACTGGTTCATTCATGATTCGTGGTAAGAAGAATTTTCTCCCGCCTGTTCAATTGGTGTATGGATTTGGAGTCATGTTTAGATTGGATGAGCAGAGTTATGCCAACCATCTTCATGAGAGACGGCCAATG